TGGCATGTGCATTGTGTGTGATAAAAGGAATCCAACTGTGAATTTGAGTGTATTAAATAATCTTCAGGAAGTTCCACAAAGAACATTTGAATGCCTTGAAACTTGCAATAACCATGTTTGTTCCAAACACATTTGCTTTGCCTAGGTTTTGCCCATCAGGTTGAAGAAATGCTAATCTTGTTGCATTCAGCAGCTGGGTTTTTTCAATATTCTTTTCCTTTTCCTAGGGGTTAATTAGCCTTCTTTGAAAATGTGGCCTATTTATCTGTAGATTCGCATGATTCAGCCAGAGCTGGCTGTACAAAGCAGATCCGTTAACAGGCGGGTGTGTCCAACTGCTTAATTAGCCAGAATAAAAAGGTCCTTTGTCAAACAAGCATCTGTTGCTCTTGACACACCTGACAGCCACATTAGGCAAGGATGACTAGACTGAAATTGTGTATGTCTTTCCTGCAAGAATATACAACTCATTTACATATGGGCTACATCTTGGACAAACTGCAGGGGTTTATTTAGCTTATCAAAATGGATTAATGTGACTGCATTTGTGGCTGATAAACAAATATCACTTGAAAGGAGGCTGTGAAGAAACTAAACTAACCAAATTACTCCCAAACATAAACAAAGCACCAGAAAGCACTGCTTGACGAATGGGAACACCTCAAAAGTACACACAAACCTTTATGCTGAGTTTAAAACAAAAACCTACAAATGAAACATGCTAAGACACTACCCTCATGTGATGATCCTTGCTCTGCAGAAATGCTGGAAAGCTACCAGAATACTCTGAATGAGTCAGTGGGTTTAAATGATCTGTTTAGCAAAATTTGGCAAGAGGGTTATATTCTAATTTGTCTGCTGTTACATCCGGTCTTCATAATTAATCAGTAAAAATGTCTCTGGAAAAATACTTATTAGTTGGATTTTATTATGGCCTCAGTAGAAAAAGAGAGAATACTTCCTAATTTCGATGTTAAACAGAGAAGAGATGGCTGTTCATTGTTATTGGAAGTATAGATGAAATCCGATGGATTATAAATCCCAAAGACTTTACTATTCAGACCAACAGTCTCTAGAATTTATTTGGAGCCCCTGTCATCATGATATTGCAGAGTAAATATAGTAATGATGACATCATCGGCTTTAGAGTCCTACAAACCTAGGTTTGAATTCAGGCTCTTCCCCTACTAGCTGTGTGGCTTTTAGCAAGTTATTTTAATCCATTTGTGCCTCAGTTTTCTCATTTGTTAAGTGGAAATAATAATAGTTCCATTATGGAGATCTTCTGAGGATTAAATAAAAAGATGCATTTCAAGCACTTAGTATATTGCATGGCACCTGGAAAAGACATGTTAAATGAGATAATTAATAATGGTTATGACTTTTTGAGCCAATCTCTGGAAGGGATGTGGCCTTGGCAAAGAGAGCCTCTTAAAGTTGAGGAAGACACTGCAATCAGAGGAGAATGAAGTTGTGTCTATTAAGGGAAAATGGTAACAAAACCGAGAGATTAAATTATTATCGGTTGGTATGATCATATAATCTAGGAGCCAAAGAGATTAGATAATGAACAGAAACTTGGGAGTAAACAGATGTTCAGGGACAATTATTGGTTGCCTTGGCTTGGGTTTTATGTGCCCGTTTTGATATAGTGTGTACATAGAGCCAGAGGCTGGATGGAAAGTTCTCCGTGATGCTTTCCACTTTAATTTACATAAGCTATAATTTTCTGTCCATCTTACTTTTCCCACTCTATTCTGTAAAGTTTGAATAGTTGGGATCCTTTTCTTTCTTTCTCATTCTAAAAGTTCACCAATTTGCTTTTCTTGACTCATTTCACATCTACCTGTACCATGTCTCTTATGGAATTCAGGTCTTCCAACTTGGTCTAGTAGTTTAGTGCGTGAGCTTTAATGTTATGTCGAAAGCTGCCTTTCCTACTTCTTGCTGTTTGACTTTGGTTAAGTGACTTAACATCTCCGCAGCCTCTGTTGACTCATCTATAAAATGAAGAAGCGAACTTACACATTTCTATTAGTAAAGTGGTCTAATTCCTCTTCTGTATAAAATAAGTAAACCAGTATAAATGTTGTCAGTATTGTCTTAAACACAAAAAGAAACTTCTATTTTCAATCTGGATTTGTAAGACTAAGTTTTTGGTTATCCCAAAAGATATTTTAAGGTCAAATGACTATAGAGACCAAGCAAGTGAATGAGTTGCACCATTTAAATAATTTGCCTATAAAACAATATGGATTGGCTTTTCTACATTTTCAGATTTTTCAAGAGAATCTGGAAATTTGGTTGTTAATGCAAAGCTTTCTGATTTTTAAATGTTGGCAATTAAGAATTTTAATTTGTAGCCACTCTGAGCCAAAGTCTTTCTGTGGAGTCTAATATAGTCCATAAGGTGCCAAGTTCCAAATCTATGCCTTTTATCTTCTGATAAGCTCTCACTGGTAGTTTATTAAGAAATTTTAGGAATTATTTTCAAAGTACATTTAATTTTTAAAGAGACCTCCATTCTTTATATTTTCATGTTTGATCTAAAACAGTAAATGTCAAACTTTGGGTTATATACCAAAAACATCTGTGTAGACTAGTCTGCAATACAATGTATGGGCACATGAGAGAGCCTGGACACAGCTCCCAGCAGTGTTGGGAGAAATAGGAGAGAGTTTTAGTGTGAGTGACTTCACTGTAAGAAACTCATCCACCCTTGACTGAGCAGTTTAAACAGGAAGCTATAACTGGCACCTCTGACTTCCTCATTTGTATACTGCACTGACAAAGGCCATCATCTATCTTGCATTGAGAAGAGGCATAAGAAAATCTCAGTGAAGATGGCATCTAACATCTTGTTCATTCCTCATTCCCTACAAAAGGATATCACCTTATTGTCATTAAGACCTCCTCTGCTGTGGCACAAATGGCATCAACAGTCTATAAATATGTAATGAATCAAAGGATGCTGGCATTTGCTTTTTTGGGGGGAGTGGATGGGGGTAGGGTATTTCTTCCCTCCAAGATATAATAAAGAGGAAGAAACCCAGATAGGGTTCCTAATGTGTATGTCCCTACCCCAAATTTTGGGAACCCTGGTCTTTCAGCAATCTTAATGCAAGTTTTATGTAGTGAATTCTGTCATTCTTAAACATTTTCAGGCATATCCATTGTCTTAATGCTAGTACGAAAGGGTGTGTGTGTCTTTGCATGTATGTATGTGTCTGTGTGGGTTTGGAAATCAATGCTACGCTTTTTTAAAATTAGCCACCATTTGGGAGATTTCACATAAAAATCTGAATTTTCATCTTCTTTTGAGATTGGAACTGGCAGCTACAGTTTATTCTTCCTACAAATGCATAATTTCCTGGAGCTGAACAATAGCTGACCCAAATAAATGGGACGGTAGCCACAGTCTCCACTACATTCCTTCTATTTAAGCCCCTAGGCACCTTTACTCTGTGTACCTGAGTTTCCTCATTATAAATGGAGATTATAATCATACAAACCACATTGAGTTGTTACATGGATTACTTTATTTATAAATTAATATTTAAAGAATTTAGAAGAGTCCTTAGCACATGTGAAACAATCAGTGTTAGCTGTTATCTGATATACCTTTTACACGTGATGAGGTTTATTGTGCTGCTTTAGGGTTTTGAGTAACAGAAGAATAAGAACAATCATCTAAAGTGATGCCAATGTCAAGGTCTAAAAGAAAAATAACCACAGATTCAAAGTGAAGAGGCAGAGTCTTGTGTCTGCTCCTGTCACCTTGAGCCGGTCTCAAACTCTCTGAGCTTTAGTTTCTTCATTTATAAAATACGAAGAGAAGATTAGATATCTTCAGAGGTACATTTCTAAAATTCAATGAGATGATAGAAAAGGTTTGGGGGGAAAATTGGGAGAGGTCACACTGTAACAAAAGATGCTGAGAGGGGTTAATTTTCTACTTGAAAGAACTGAATATGCTTTCAGAATTTTCTTAGGAAAAATTAATGTTCACCATACCATTCACAGATTTGAACCATAATGCAGTATTTTTCTTAAGCTACCAATTAAATACTGTTTTTATCCCCAGTAAAGAAAATTAGAATTCTGGTCCCTGCTCAATTGCAAAGAAATTAATATTTATTCTATTGACTATATAAGTAGCAAAAGGGAATGTCAAGACCAGGAGGTCTGAGAAACCACACTTGTTAGAGGACATGCTACAAAATTTAATCCTGTGTTAGTGGGTTAGGCACACAAGAACTGAAAAATGTGCTGTGTTGAATTGTGAATGACAAAAGATAATATTTTATGTCTTCCTTTAAAAGTTTTGTTTCCTCTCCATCTTTCAAAATATTAAACATTATTGATATTTGGCTATCTTCGTGTAAGAATATCACTGAACTTTGATTTTATTACTGTGTCATACCACAGAAGGAGAAAATTAGCTTGATCCTTTGGATAAGTTTAGGATATATCAATTGGTATTTGGATATATATTAATTTTTGTAGATCAGCGATTAGTTGGAAAGGACCTTAGAAAGAATTTATTCTAAATTGTACACCTATAGTGACATCCTAATAGTCTATAAAAGTGTCTAGAAAGTATAGTTTATGATATGTTTGCGTCCAGTTAATGTTCGAATTCTGAGAATTGAGTATTTGGACATAATTTTGGGCTATAATTTATAATGTGCTTGAAACAGTTTGTAACAGATGAGAACTATGGAAGGTAGATTTCAATCAAGTTCAACCTTTATAGCCTGAGGATAATAAAAGGTACTAATGGGAATTTTTTAAAATGTGGATTAATAATTTTCTGTATTTTAAAAGTGGTCAAAATGGCTATAAATATGCATGGGATATCATGATGGTATGCTGGGATAAGAGGTATTCTGAGATTTGAAAGTTAGTCTCAGTATTAGATATTAAGAACAAATGCAGCGCTGCTGCCAGTCATGCAAAGGGAGCATTTTAACCTTTATTTCTATTTTAATATATTTCAGAGACCATCATGCAGACATCAGAGACCGGGTCGGACACAGGTTCGACAGTGACTTTACAGACATCTGTGGCTAGTCAAGCAGCAGTGCCTACACAGGTGGTACAGCAAGTACCAGTACAACAACAGGTAAGGAGCGGCTATTCTCAGAGAGGACACTGTGCCTTTCATTATACTGACTCTTCAATACAGCTGTGTCCAAAAATGATTTGGATTATACTTTCTGGCACAATGGATGCTAAGATAGGCCTAGTTCAGTTCTTAGGTTAATTCAGCAAATATTTCTTTAGCATTTCCTAGATGTGCCAAGTTCTTTCTGTATTAGCCTATAGGGATGCAAAGATAAATACTCAAACTGTAATCCCTACTCTGAAAGAGCCTCTTAACTCTTAAAAAGAGCATTTGTTTATAATTTGATCACCCTAAGTAGGTTTTCTCCTACTCTTCTCCCCTCCCTATTCTTTATCACAACTTACTATTTCTTTCATACTGAAATGTCAGCAGTCATATTTTTATATAGTTGGCTCACAGTAGTACTTAATAAAGAGAAGATGGATTTAACTTACAAGCAGAGATTTTGCCTTTGTGATATTTTAGAAAGAGCCTGGGACTTATGGTGACTGATAAATACTGTTTAATGAAAATTAAATTAAAGGTCTGGAGAGCTGAGTCTTCCCATTTTAAAAAATTGAGAATGAATTTCTCATCACATTTACTACAGGGCTTATTCATACTCAACACTTGGCTTGTTTTGGAAAGATACTGACAAAATAATGCTATTCATGCCAGCTAATAGTTCTGTATGTAGATCGTGAATGCATTGGCCTGTCATTTCTTCTAAAGCGTGGAGAGAAAATAAGTGAGAAAGATCATGTCATAAAACATTATCTTGAGACTTAAGATTTGCCTGTAATTTCTTAGTATTCAGGAGAATCTTTAGCAAATGTCGCTTTTACAATTATAAGTAAGGAGAGGGATATCTTTTCTTAAATGGTAGAGGGACTCAAGGTTATATTCTTCTTGGGAGATAGAAGTGGGCTGGGCAGGGAGAGTGTTAGAATTATGCAAGGTCTTTGATTCTCAGGGTAGGCAAAGACATCTGAAGTGATTTTTAAAAAAAATTGTAGCACATTCCTTTTTCTCGTCTCTGCCATGCACACATATACACACACACACACAAACACACACATACACACTCGTACTTCCAGTTTATTAAGTTGAACTATATGCAGTTGTGATCCACAAAATTAACAATTTCATATGTTTTAATCTATTAGTTATGTTTCTTATTCTTTCTCTCTTTTTTACCATTAAAAATGAGTCTTTCCAAAATGATTTTTAAAGGTATTATCGATGTCATCACCAATTTCAAGACTAAACATTATTCATAAAAGGTTATAATCCAAAGAGCAAATAGAGAACAATTAGCACAGTGTTATATATAGTTTTAGAAAGATAACAAACTATCAATATTAAGCAAATGTTGAATAGTTGCACTCATTCTGGTTTGGTTTTTTGTCTCATTTATGGAAGAAGGATGGCCTTGGACTTGACTATCTCTAACAACACTGTGATGAAGATTGTGTTCCTATCTCCAGAAGGTGCCCCCCTGAGGCATATCTGTAATATCCATATCTGGCCCTCTCCTGGACTATCTTTTCATTCTTCCTCTCTCCCTCCCTCTCTTTTTAAAAAACTTTTTATTGAATTTAGATATCAAAAGATAATCACTATAGGTCTTATCTAGTGTATATAATTAGCCTAAAAAGTCAAATAGTTCAGCAGATTTGTTATTTAAAAAAAAGCAGCCCTCAACCTCCCTCTACTTCCATGAACACCTTATCAAAGGCAACAACTTTTGCCTCTTTTTACCTATTTTGATATTTACCTCCATGTCTCCAAAACTAATAGTTATTTTTAATGTTTGTTAATTTTTTTTAGCTTTAAGCATTCTTATCATGCTCCTCTTTTCTGGTGCCTACCACACCATACACACCCTCCCCCTAACACATATACATACCCTTTCCGTCCCCTAGGCCTCTGTTAATCCTGGTTGAACTATATGCAGTTTTTGATCTACAGCAACCACAATTTCATACATTTTAGCCTAATAGTTCTGTTTTAATTTTGGTATATCATTACTCAGTGTATGTGTGTATGTGTGTATATATATATATATATATAGAGAGAGAGAGAGAGAGAGAGAGAGAAATATAAATTCTATTCAAATCTAGCCATGTAGTAAGCTGTGATTATCTTCCTTTCTTGGAAAACTCACTTTCCCTGGATTTAATGACCATATGTTTTCTTAACGAAGCCTCTCAGAGCTTCAGTCTGGATTGATTGTCCTTTGCTCAGCTCCCATACTAGGATCTCCTTTTTCCATCAGCTGGATTTTTTTTTTTTTTTTTTCCTTTCCTGTTTCCTGAATCAATGTTTTAAACTCTTTCTGGATTTGCCTTGAGCACAACTTCCAGTAACTTCCTAAGCAATAACAAATGTTAGAGCTTTTATGTGTCTGAGAGCAAATATATTTATCTTTACAGTTGTTTGGTAGTTGATGGGTACAGAATTTTGGGTCGGAAATAATTTTCTTCAGAATTTTGAAAGGATTACTCCATTGTCTTCTGGTTTACATGACTGCTATGGAAAAGTCAAACACCATTCTGATTTCTGATCCTTTATATGTGTTCTATGTGATTATTTTTTTCTCTCCGAAAGTTTATAGACTGTTGGAAATCCCAGTTTCTTGAAATTCATGGTGATATGTCTTGATATGGGCCTATTTTCATACATTGTATTGGAACCTTGGTGGTCCTTTTCAATCTGGACCTTCATGTTCTTCAGTTCTTCAATTTTTCTTCAATTTTTCATTTATAATTACCTCCACTCTTCTTTCTCCTTTTTTACTTTTTGGACTTTCTCATTCTACTTTCAGTTTGATCTTCCAGCCTATCTATTACTTTTCTATCATAATTGTAATTTTCAAGAGCTTTTAAAAACTTTCCTCTATGTTCCTTTTTCATAACATCATATTTCATTTCCCAATTATAATATATTTTTATCTCTCTCTAAAGATATTAATTATTTTAAGTTGTTAAAATTTTTCTCTCTTTATATAGTCTATTTCTTTCAAGCTCCTTTTGTTGTTTATGTTTCATTTTAGAAGTTTTTCTCAGATGTCTGGTAATCTTTGGGTGTTTATTCATATTTAAAATTGTGGGGATAAAAGGCTAGTTTGAATGCATGAGTGGATCTTGTTGACTTCAATATAGGGTCATATTCTGGGCTTTTTAACTGGAGACCCTCTGATATCACTATCTTTGTTTTTCTTCTTGAGCTAGTTTTATTATTAAAGAAGACATTTCCAGCTTCATGCTTAGCAGGTGGACTCTGGGCTTGTGGATGCTAAGCAGGCAAAGGGAATTGGGTGTTTCTTGCACTAATTCATTTAATACGTCTCTTTTTCACATGGTATCATTTGTGTGTGGTCTTCCTCGGTGCAGACATTAAATAAAAGCATAAACTTCCAAACTTTCACCCAAGTCATGGAGGACCAGTCACCTCCCTGCATGGAGTTGATAGAGGGGGTCTGTTTGGTTCTTAAATAGAGTCACTTTTTATATTAGTTGCATGTATTAAAAACCAAAAGTTAAATTGCTGTCAGAAGTGGAAAATCAGTATCATCAGCCATAAAAAGAAGTTTATACTTACACACACATTGTTCATGTCCTCATAAAAAATATTCTCGTGTACACATGGACCACACTTTGGAAAACATTGCACTGTGCTGTGCGGGTCATTCCCAACAGGCATATTTTTCAATTCCTCAAGTTTTCTCTTTCTTCTTGGACATTGTAGGCAGGTGATACCTTATGTCCCCTCACACCAAGCAAAGAAAGGGAGAACTCTTATTTTCTTTATGTCAACTAAATGTTTTTCTCTTCTGTAATTTATTTTTTTCTAGTACAGTGTTATGTTTGAAGCTCTGTGTTGAATTCTAATGGCGTCTTTCTGGATGTAAATTGTCTATAACTGATAAGATTAGTGCTATAGTAATTGTTTATTGCTCTAACATGTCTATAATCTTTGTATTGTTAATGTTCTGATGTCATCTTGAGTTTTCAAACTGGATACCTTTAAAAGCTTCTAGCTTTTATCACCAACCCATGATTATTATTGAAATCATGTCATTGATGTCAAGGTAGTTTACTTCTATTGATTCAACTTTAATTGGGTCCTTGCTTTGGCAAAATAGACATTAAGAGAAAGCTTACAGCTGAAATTTTTAATGATGAGATATGTAATATATGTATTGGAAAGTTGAGAAACCAGAAAATTTTAAGATCCTACTATATTGTTCTGTTTCTTCAAAGCCCTAAGGGTTCTAATTTAGTATAATAAGTACCAAATAAAATGTTGAGTCTAAAATTATTTCTGTGTTTTTTTTATTTATTTTATATAATCTCAAGAACCAACTTGTCACCTTTCCTAGTTCAAGAGTGGAAAATTCTGAGCAAAGATTACAAGGTCTTGTTATATAATATAATACTTTATCAAATTTCCTATCTTTAGTATTTTTTCATTATTTCACAAAACACCATAGAGTTTTAGCTTCCAAATACTGCCATTGTTGCCCTATTCAATAAAATCTAAAAAAATATTCAAGTTCAGTATCTTGATTAAAAACTAAAATTTTGAAATTAGTCATCCTATCATTTCTATAAGAAGATTTTCCTGTCCAATGGGTCACTATAGACTTTGACTAGAAAAGAGCTCTTCTCCCTTTCCCTTCCCCTGCCTTTAGTGATTTGTTAGTTTGTTGTAGATTATCCTTCAGACTGATCATTTTATGTGTAAATATTAGAGGTCTTCTGATCCTACTTGCCCTAGAACTGGATTAAAAATCCAGGAGAGGAAAAAAGGGAAATGCTTTTTTATTATTCCATTCTCTCCCATAGCTGGCCAGTTTAGTTTCTTTTTAAGGTATAACTTAGACAAAAGTCAGAATTTTTATTTCTTGTTTTAATCTTGGGCTCCAGGTATTCCACAAATGCTACTGACAGTGAAAATAATTTCTAAACTACCTTGAAAAAGGCTCCAAGACTTTTTTCTCTCTCTCAAGTTTT